TTACCAGCATCATTGGTTGAAAAGATTATACCTTCCTTGTTGAATTATGTTGGTACTTTTGTTGAAAATCAACTGACCTTAAATGTAAGGGTTTATTTCTGCACTCTTGATTCTACTGTAGTGATTTCTATGTCTATTATTGTGCTAGTACTACACTGTATTATCTATTGTAGCCTTGTAGCAAGTTTTGAAACTTTGGTCCTTTGACTTTGCTCTTCTTTTTCAAGTCTGATTGATTCTAGATCTAGATCCCTTGCAATTCCACATGAATTTTAGGGGCAGGCTATAATTTCTGCAAAGAAATCAGCTGGGATTTTGATAGGGATTTCATTTGCTATGGACTGAACTATGTTACCCCCAAATTTGTATGTGGAAAACCTAACCTCTAATGTGATGGCATTTGGAGATATGGCCTTTCTGAAATAATTGTTAGATGAGATCATGAGGGGGTGACCCTCATGATGGCTTTAGTACCCTTTTAAGAAGAGACACCAGACAGCTATCTCTTTGTGTCTCTGCCATGTGAAGACACAGCAAGACGGTGGCCATCTAAAGGCCAAAAAAGTTTTCAGCAGAATTTGACTATGTTGGCACCGTGATCTTGGTTTCCCAGTTTAAACCACATACTCTATATTATTTTGTTATGGCAACTCAAGCTAAGATAGCATTAACTCTGTAGATCAATCTGAAAAGTGTTGCTGTCTTAATATTATCAAGTCTTATGATCAAGGAACATGGGATGACTTTCCATTTATTTAAGTTTTCTTTAAATATTTTTCAGTTTTCATAGTACAGGTTTTGAGCTTCTATTAAATGTATTCCTAGGTATTTTATTTTTGTTCTATTGTAAAAGGAATTGTTTTCTCAATTTATTTTCAGATTGTTAATTGTTAGTGGATAGGAATATAATTGACTTAGTTGTAATGATTTTGTATCTTTTTATGATTTTAACCTTGAAACCTTGATGAACTTGTTTATTAGTTATAATAGTTTCTTTGGTGTATTACTTAATGATTGTTATATATAAGATCATGCCGTGAGACTTGGCTGTGCTCTTGAATCCAGCTTCCTGCTAATGCGGACCCTGAGAGGCAGCATTGATTGCTCAAGTAGTTGAGTCCCTGCCACCCATGTCAGAGATCAGGACTGAGTTGCTGACTTCTGGCTTAAGCCTGACCCAACTCCAGTTGTTGTAAGCAGTTGAGGAGTGAACCAGCAGATGGGAGTTCCATCTGTCTGACTGCCTCTCAAATGAAAAATTTGAAAACTATTGTCTCTTTGTCTTTGATGATCTGAGGTTTCACTCTGATATATGTGGGTGTGTTTCTTTTGTATTTTCCTGCAGGTATTTATTAGATTAGTTAGATTCAAGGATATGTGTCTTTCAATAGTTCCAGAAAATTCACAGCTGTTATCTCTTCAAATATTGTCCTTTCATTAATGTTTCCTATTACGTATCCTCAGAACTCTGGTTATATGTATGCCAAACCTTCTCACTATATTCTCTGTGTGTCAGTTTCTTTTTTTACTACTTTCTTATATTCTGGGCCACATCTGTATAACTTTCTTAGTTAAATCTTCCAGTTTATTAATTCTCTTTTTAACAACATCATCTGCTATTTAATTCATACCTTGAGTTTTAAATTACAAATATTATATGTAATTTTCTATAAGATTTGTTTCTTTTTCAAATCTTTTGTGTTACTCTGTATAATGTGCTGTTTGTTTCTTGTTCATATTTTCTAGCTCCCCTTGCTTGTGTAAATGCATTATTATTACATCATAAAAAAATCCCAATATACAAAGTCTTTGATATTCTGATTCTGCCCTCCATTGATTCTATCCCTTATGATTTTTGTGTTTTGACTGTAAAATACTCATTTCCTTAACAATATAATCTGTGGGAATTCTTTGAGGTCTGAATTAAAGTTCAGTTCCTACAAAGAGAATTATTGCTTCTGTCATTTGCCAAGTATGGGACTACATTCTTTTTAACTCTCTGATTTTTTTTTATTTACACCAAATATGTAACATGAACATAATGCATGAATCCATGAAAGATGGATTGTAGACAGACATTTCCATAGCAGTTTTATTCCCTGTACCCAATGTCAATTTTGGGACAAGCAGGTTTCCTTCAACAAAAGCAGTTTATTTCTAACCCACCTTATAGTAAGTATAAGACTTTTTCAGGGGGAAATCTCAGCTTTATATGGACGTTTAGATTCCCCCCTTTGCCAGCCTCTAGGCTTTGTCTCTTGTTCTCTATGATTCATTTAGATATCAAGGTAAAATTCAAGGTCTCCAAGGTTGAGCATGAGCTGTTGGGATGAAATTTGGCATTGGTAGTCATAGCAGGATTTCTGCTTTTGACTTCTGAAGATTCCTTCCTTTCATGTCAGCACAGTAGTACATGATAAAAGAGTTATAAAAGAAATTTTAGAATCTTTTTAAGACTTTTTTTTTAAAAAGAGAAAGCTATTTACGGTAACTAAAATCCATACTGGTTACTGTTAGAAAGAAAAATCCTGTCATTTGTTTTACCTCTAGGCAAGCTAACATAGAAAATATACAGAAAGATAATGGTGTTCCACCCCTCCCCACAACAGATCTTCACTGAAAGAGATTTTTACAACCTCCTCATGGTAGATTGTCAGAATGGCTAAATTATTACCTTCTCTGCACTCACAGTCTTGAAATGTAATGCTGCAGATTCTTCCTCAAAAGTTTATTTCTCCATGCCCCTGAATCTGATTGGCCATTTGACTTGATTTGGCCAACAGCAGGGTATTCACAAGTGTGACACAAGCTGAGGCTTGAAAAGGTCTTGGTTATTGGTGCTTGTTCTTTTTCTACACTTGGACCTCTGAGGTCACCTTATGAAGGAGCACAAGCCAGCATACTGGTAGGCGAGCAGCCATGTGTAGGCACCCAGGCCAAGTATTATGTTCTGGCACAAGCAACAGGTAACTGATTCACTTTCTCAAGAATGCACAGTAAATGCAAAGTCACATCCTAAATCTCATACAACTTTATTGTCTTTATCCTTTGTTCCATCCCAATTTCTGAGGATGTAAAGTCATTTACCAAAATATTCTTTTTTTAAAAAAAAGATTTATTTTATTTATGGAGGGAGGGGGAGAGATCTTCCATCCTCTGGTTCACTCCCCAAATGGCTATAAGGGCCAGGGCTGGACCAGGCTGAAGCCAGGAGCCTGGAGCTTCTTCTAGGTCTCCCATGTGGATGCAGGGGCTCAAGCACTCTCTCTGTCCTCTGTTGCTTTCCCAGGTGCATCTGCAGGGAGCTGGATCAGAAGTGGAGCAGCCAGGACTCAAACCGGTGCCCATATGGGATGCCAGTGCTGCAGGCAGCGGCTTAACCTACTATGCCACAGTGCCAGCCCCTCAAGATATTCTTGTGTTTAACTTCTTGTATTCAACTTGTGTTAATGGGGTTTACTAATTCTCAGTACAAACTTGAAATCATATCAAATAAAATACATCCAATACATGCTTTTAGGGGGAATAGGAGCATGTAGTTTATTTGGTCAATAAAGAGTCCAGTTAGGTCATGAGGAAAGAAGTTCAAGGTTTTTCTCAACAGCAGGGGGAGTCAATCTCAGATAAGTAAGACTGAAGCAGTTATTGATACAAAAAAATCTGGGGGTTTTAATTGACTTACACTCAGTACAAATCAGTGGTGTTAAGTGGCTTCTCAGGAAGTCAATTTAATATTAAGAGAAATGTACAAGGATACTTCAAAAAGATCACGGAAAATGGAATTAAATGGTAAATTTATTTTGATGCATTTTTGGAAATCCATTCATCATTTTTTCATAATATGCATTTTTCATAAAGATTCCTAATATGTCTGGATTTGAAGATATTTTGCAATGAAATACATTTATCTCTTAATTCCATTTTCCACAAACTTTTTGAAGTATCTTCATAATCCTTGCTGCATTAGTCAGGCCTTCAGAACTGTGGTCATTTCTGACATTATCCTTTAAGGGTGATGGTGACAAAGTAGAATGGATCAAAGAGGAAGACTCCAGTATGATGTCAGATAATGCCCAATTCAAGGACTTGCCATTGTTTGACATGGGGAAGACCTGGCTACAGGTACCTGAAGGGCAGTCATAGGCAAAAGCAGGAAAAACAAACACCAGGTATTCTTCAAAGTTTATGAGGACAAATCTAGAACCAATGGATGAGAGTTAGAGGTCAAATGTTGGGGGTCAAACGTTTTCTAAGCCCATAGGCAATGCAGGCTCAGAATGGCTGCTGCCATGGAGCCTGGAAGAAGAGATCAAGAAGTGGAAGTGGAGAGGCTTTTGTTGGTACAATCTGGAAAGAAGTGTTGCCTCTAGAGCCAAAGGGCTCTCTGCACACTCTCAGATGAGTCTCCCTTCCTCCCTGGTGCTACCATCCTTCTTTAGGAACTCTTAGCTTGGTTGAGTCTAGTATACTATCAGTTAGCCATGAGTAAGCTGCAACGATTTGAGAGATAATATCCAATTGCTCTCCAATTAGAAACCTTACAGAAAGCAAGGTATATCTTCTCCTTTGTTAAACTTAACCTCGAACATTGTCACACTGTCATAGAAAAGGTGTTTATCTCAGAGTCAGGCTGAATTTTCACCAAGGTAGTTTATGCTTTCATTCACTCTCAGTGGATTTATAGGTGCAAGCCAGGAGCCTTTTCAGATACGTAAGGTAAACTTGCAGGACTGCCTTTTTCCTCTAGACAGCACCTATTCCTCAAGTTAGCAGCCTCCCTCTCTCACTGACACCCCAACACTTCTCTCACTGTAACCGCCCTCTTTACTCCACACTTCTTACAGGAGAATTCTTGTAAGAAGAAGCTCAAGGAAAGTCTCTTTGAGACTTTATACCTGCCTTGATTTCCTGTGTTTGGTCTTTCTGCCCCTGTGGCATGTTCTGGTGGTGACAGCATTACCAGGGATCTGCGATGGTAGCTGGGCAATTGGGTCTCCTACCTTGACAGGTGAAACATCGGATGTGGAAGTGGTTGTTGTGGACGCGAACCACTTCCCCTTTGCAGGTATCTCCACATCGGTAGCATTGGATGACATTGGAGCTGCCCCGCGGGTTGTAAGGATTCTGCTGATAAGGAACTGCAGGAGGAAAAACGAGAATGCTAACCAGGGGGCTCCACTTCTGTAAAAAAAAAAAAAGTCTGCTAAAAGATATTATCATTTTCTTAACTGTAGGAAAAAACAGAAAAGGTAGAAATGATTAGCAAAGTACCTTCAATTTATTATCAGATTGGGTTTGCCAAACTGAGGCAGCATTAAGTGAATGGCTTTCAGATGTAAATCCATAAACCTCCTCCAGCAGGGAAATATTTGAGTGAGCATAGCCTTTTCTTGCCGTAACAGAGGCCAGATTCCCAAATGAAGAAAAACAAAAGAGGAAGGAGAGTGCTGTCATGTGCCATGTAATGATACATCTGTCAATGATGGACTACATGTATGATGGTGGTCCCATAAGATTAGAACAGAGCTGAAAAATTCCATTCTCCTAGTGATGGCACAGCCATTATAACATCCTAGTGCAATCCATTACTCATGAGTTTGTTGTGACACTGATGTAAACAAACCTACTATTGGTTGCTAGTCATATAAAATATAGCAAACAGTTATGTACAGCATATAATACTTGATAAGAAGAGACTATGCTTATGGTTTATGTATTTACTATACTATAATTTTATTGTTATTTTAGAAAGTAATCCCTCATACATCTCATGTATATCATGTCTCTTGATCATGATGTTGGGTGATTGACCTATAATCTAGGTTTGTGTAAGCATACTCTATAATGTTCACACAATAGGAAACGGATCTAACAATACATTTCCCAAAATGTATTCCAATTGTTAAGTGACATGTGATGGTATTTCAAAGTAAATGTTCTGCAAATACCATTTCTTGGGTCATCTTTGGATCCAAATTAGGCAACAAACTTGTCAAAAGGAACTTGGGTCTTGGAATTGACTTATGGTCCTCAAAGAAATAGATGATTCCTGTGTCCACCTGGCCTTTGCACTAAGCAATTTACAACCTGTCTCTCGGCCTTAGAATCCACATCTTGAAGATGACAGCGGTTGGTGAATGACAGCAAGACTTTCTACAAAGGAGGCGTGAAGCGGGGTATACTCTGGCTGGCAAAAAGTGGTTGAAAGGACTCATCTAAAGCTGCCTTTGAGCAGCACTTTCCAGAGTACTGAGAAAACATCTGATGTGTATAATCAGGAAGAGGGGCTGTTGGAAATTATGAAGGCAGTGAAGTCCCTTGGAGCTCGAGTGCCACAGTCAGCATTTGATGGTGCTTAAGAGCTCCTCTAGTCTGTTAAGTCTGTTATTACCCTCTAGCTAACACCTTCTCATGACTGCTTTCCTAGATTTCCTTTGCCTAAGATATACGTGGCTTGACCATCCAAAAGTCTAGTCATCTGGCATTTAATTTTTTAACTTTTATTTAGCAAATATAGATTTCCAAAGTACAGCTTATGGATTACAATGGCTTCCCCCCCCCATAACTTCCCTCCCACCTGCAACCCTCCCAACTCCTGCTCCCTCTCCCATTCCATTCACATCAAGATTCATTTTCAATTATCTTAATTATCTTTATATACAGAAGATCAATTTAGTATATATTAAGTAAAGATTTCAACAGTTTGCACCCACACAGAACATAAAGTGTAAAATACTGTTTGAGTACTAGTTATAGCATTTATTCACATTGAGCAACACATTAAGGACAGAGATCCTACATGAGGAGTAAGTGCACAGTGACTCCTGTTGTTGACTTAACAAATTGACACTCTTGTTTATGGCGTCAGTAATCATCCTAGGCTCTTGTCATGAGTTGCCAAGGCTATGGAAGCCTTTTGAGTTCACCAACTTCGATCTTATTAGACAAGGTCATAGTCAAAGTGGAGGTTCACTCCTCCCTTCAGAGAAAGGTACCTCCTTTCTTTGATGGGTCATTTGGCATTTTAATAACAGTAAGCATTTGCTTAGATCACAAAATCTCAGGGTTGAAAGGGATATTAACTGTCTGCTCCAATCACATAATGTATAAGCTGTTGAGATAACTTTATGCAGTGAGGAAATAGATATCTCTTGTAGGCAGTCTCTAGTGTTCACTCACAGTTGAACTCCCTCAAAGTTGAAGCTGGAGTCCACAGAATTCTGCTCATACCTACTAGGAGAAGACTCATTCTTGTCCTAGTTACCAAGATAACAACTGATTAAAGAGGAATTGGTAGCTGATCTCTTATATAGGTAGACTTCCTGGCTAGCCTCTGAGTAAGTATAGTATAGGCTAATCTGGACTCACAGCAACCTTGAATTACAAAAGAATTTAGAGAACACACACTTCATGCGTTTCTGACCTAGTGTGGAACTTATGTCTGTTCACTAAAGTTTGAATATTTCGTTGCAACCATACAAAGGATTGCACAGTGTGGCTTTCTTGGCAATGAAATGTGAATGGAAACTGTGTGTGTCCCTTCCAATTGGAACCCTTAGGAGCTGGTATGTGAGCTGCCATATTGCCCTTCTTGTAACCCAGCAATGAGTGATGTCCCAGATGGTGTGCAGGAGGTATCACTTGGATTCCTAATTGAGAAGTCCTGGAGCAGAACTCCCAGCTCATCCATGATGAATGTGCATCATGAACAAGACCAAATATCTGCTGTTATAAGCCCTAAGACATTTTATTACTGCAGCTTGACCTGGACTTTCCTATCTGATCCACCTGGGATCTAACTCTTCTCTTTAAATACATTATCCTATAGTTTTCCTCATATTCTCAAAGAGGTCTATGATCTCCATAAGTGAACTCATCCTTCCTTCTTTTAAAAATAGGAATAGGGAATTAGAACTTTTGATGATTTCTGTCTCATAGGGTCCCTAAATCACAAGTGTGCAATAGAGCAAAGAGTTGATTGCTTAGCCCTGAAGCTATGACCTCTGACAATTTTGCTAACTGGGGTGGGGCAATAATGTCCATCTTACAATCCTTCTCTCATGGAGCTCATGCTCATTATTTGTATCTTTTTTTTCTGACTTATATTTAAGAGAATTTTTTAATGAACTAGCTAGTTAATGAAATCATTATTCAACACATCAAAGGGGGAAGCATTTCAGAAAGTGCTCCATAAATGGTGACTGTCATGAGTCATGATGACCATCACTTCCTCCTGCAGCTCAGAGCAACTGTTTCTTGTTCTCTTTAGCCCCATCCCCTTTTCTCCCTTTTCTGATTCCTTCCCATTGTGCCCTGGAAAATATTTCACTCTCCCCTGTGCCCCAATTTGTGAGAAAAATATAGATTCTGTTGATATGAGCAGTGTGGTGCTCTACCATTGCCAAGGGAAACAAAAGCTGTGAGTCTGAAAATAAAATAAAATAAGAACGAACAGTACAATTATCACCATCAGCAATGAGAGCTCTTGGAAGGACCCAAAAGTCCCTCCAGAGTCCCTGCACTGAGTTTCTTCTACCTCAGTCTTTAAAAACCACTTTCCAAGGTCAATTGGATTTTTTCTAATTTGATTTGGTTTTCTGGGGAGTGAAATGGCAGATGTCTTCTGGATTTCAAATTGAATTACACAGGAAGTTTTAGACTACCTCATACAGGAGGAACTACCCAGCCTTGAGAGCAATGTCTGAGAACAGCCACTGGCCTCAAAGACTACTAGTTCTGCTAACCCGTGAAACAAACCATGATGTTGCCCAGGTTAGATATGTAGGTTATGTGTATGTTTCTAAAATACAATTAGTAAACTTGACCTTTTTGAGGATTATTTGGGCATTAAAGGCTGGCCAGGAGGGATATTCTCAGCTGCTTTCCCTTAAGCAGTGCTGTCCAGTAGAACTTCCTGGGATAAAGGAACTGTTCTATGTCAGTCCAGCACATTAGACAAATGTGGCTACTGGGCACTTGAAATGAAACTATTGTGACTAAGGAACTGAATTTTAGTTTAATTAAAATGAATATAAATTTATATTTAAGTAATCACATAAGGCTAGTGGCTACCATATTGGACAGTGTGGAACACCATGGAAGGGAAAAAGAAATTAAACCCAGTCACATAAAAATAATGTACAAGTCAATTACACAGCCTAAGTCAGGACTGCCACTTCAGTTTTAAATCATTCAATTTTTTAAGGAAATTTTTCCATGTACTTTCCTTTGAGAGGCAGGCAGCAGACAAACACACACACACACAGCAAGCAAGCATGCTCCCATTCCTTGGTTCACTGCCCAAATGCTTATAGCAGCTTGCTTGTGTTGGGCTGAAAATGGGGGTTGGGAAGCAATACAGATCTCTCACCTGGGTGGCAGGAACCCAGTTACTTGAACCATTACCACATTGCTTTTCAAGATTTCCACTGGTGGAATCTGGAGTGAGGAGCTGGAGCTGGGGGTCAAACCCAGGTACGCAGATAGGCTACATGGGCATCATACGCAGTGCCCCCTTCATTGCTAGGCTAAATACCCACTCCTAAATTATCCATTTTTATCCCTGAGAGTTTTAAAGCAGTATTTGAATAATAATTTGTAATGGAAACCAGTTACACATATATCCACCCACCCTGAGTTTATTTCCATCTTGGAAATAAAAGATTCTGAGTAGTGAAATAAATCACAATTTTTCAGGCATTGAAATACAGAACAATCCTAATCTTTCCAAGAATAAAAGCAAGAGAATCGGTTGGTAAAGGCTATCAGAATAATTTTCTAAGACAGAAAATTAGCTGGCCAACATCTTTGAAATTAAAAATTAAGGGTCTGAAACATGAAGTCCTCTTTTATATGCATACCAAATCCTTAGAGTTCTACAAGAAAATACGTCTTAATTCCACAGTTAAATTTGTAAGTAGAGTTCTTCCCAAATGCTACAGAGGTCATTTCAAGTTGTTGGTGCAAAAGAACATATTGGAAGGAAAGGTGTGATCCATCCCCTGGTAGGAACACATACGTGAGTTGAACACAACAGAAAATTATCTCAAGCATTCAGTTCCTTCACCGACTTTTCCTCCTTCCCTCTGTATGTCATTCTTTGTCTCTATATTTCTCTGACAGATAGTACTGAGGGGAA